AGCGGCTGTCAATCCGCTCCTCCGGGCCAGCCTCTGTTTCTTGATACCCGTAAATGTAAAATTTCCACTTACTGTGGTGATTGTAATTAAACTAAAGTAGATCCTTGCTGTTTTGAGAAGACAGGAAAGCTCTAAGGTAAAGAGGCTCCTAAATAATGCTACTTAGACAAACTTGACTTGCAGTTTTTTGGGGGGATAGGAAAGCTCTAAGATAGAGAGACTCCTAAATAATGTTATCTGGACTGCTCGGCCTTGGGAGGGCAGATGCACCAAGCTACAGAGATAGGGGAGCACCAAGAGGGCAACAAAACCAGAGCAAAACAACCTGGAAGGACACGGTATATGTGGTCTTAGAACTGAGTTTGCGCAGAAACAAAGGTCAGCCAGCGGACACTGTGATGAGGAGTATAAGCCTTCATCTTAAGACCCCCAAAGACCACCCGAGGACGCTAACAGACATGTGTGAAAGATATTAACATATGCTAATTAGTTATTGGAAAAGTTATGAATATGCTAAGCATTTCTTGGAAATATAATGAGTATGTATATTGTGATTGTGTTTAACCTGCAATGACGGGGTGTTTGGCGTGCATGCTTGGAGGAGAGATCCCCCGTGTGCCCGGCGCCGCAATAAAGAATACCTGCTTAATAGTCTTCTGACTATTGAGTCTTCAATTCCAGCTCTTCACGGCATCATTCTCCTGAAAGGATACCCCCGTGTCTCACACAGGAGGTGGCAGCTGGAGGCGGTGGGGTGAGCGTCTCAGGCTTTGCGCTGCGCGGGGGGATCGGGCCAAAATCCGCTCCAGGCGCTTTGGCGTGGGGCTTGATAGGCAGATGGCCATGGTGCTCCCGCTGGCTGCCACCCCCAGGCTCGGGGTGCTGTGGAGGAAGGGGTGGAGAAGAGGAGGAGGATGAGATGCCAGTCTCTCTCGTGATTGTATTTGCAGGACCGCGGTGTGGCTTGGTCTTGCTGTTTCTTTCCCCAGGCCCAGCGGGATGCTCCTTGTGAAGTGTCCCCGTCCTGCAGAGATGGGGACGTTGATGGCAGCTTGCGCCGGGCTCAGAACCTGATGCCCGTGGGTTTCGGCCAGGTGACACTGAGGGGTCTGTTATACAGCCTGGCAAAGCCCATCACAGGGCTTGCTGCCACCATGGGCCGACACTGGGCTGTCTTGACTTGGCAGTAAACTGATGTAAGGGGCTCAGCATGGCAGAAAACCAGCTTTTTTCTGTAGCCGTGGGACTGTGCCCACGTTAGCCCAAGCCAGGCGGTGGGAGGACGGGGTGGCAGCAGGTAAACCTGCACCCTTGGATGTGTCCTGGGAGTGCTGTCAGCGCAAAGGAGCTTATGCCAGGCTGAGGTGCGGCTGGCTGGCGGGGCTCACGGGTCCCTGCTGCTCACCTCGGGGGGCTGCTTGCCTGCTCTGGGTGACGCGGGTGGCTTTGGGGAACAGAATAATTAGTCAGCTCCAAGGCTCTGGGAAGGGAGCTGCAGATCCCAAGGAAAAGAGGAGAAGCAGCGCTTATAGTTAGGTTTCTGATCAGCGTACAGGACCCGCGTAAGCGCTGCCATATGCTGGAGTGTTGCATCCTCACAGCTCCTGTCAGCTTCAGAGCTGGGGAAGGAGACAGGCTATCCAGTCTTTTGCAACTACTAAAGAGTAATGCAGCCCCTGTCCACGCTGGTGCTACATGGTACGTACACAGAGCAGAGCAGCCCGGGGTGAGCAGTGGTGTGCAGTCCGAGGAGGCACAAAACACAGCAAAAGGGGACAAGATCAGCTGCAGACATCTGTTGTCTGAGCAAGGGGTCTGCAGGAGGCAGAAGCTCAACACGTTGATTTGCAGAGCCAGAGGATAGATGAGTTGATCTGCCGAGATCTGAACATCTTTCCAAGAATAAGAGTACCAGATGTGGCATATAGAGACCACTTGGTCATGCGGGACAAAAAGTTCTGCACCTTTTTCTTTCTAAATAAATCCACGGGAGTTTTTCCACTCAACTTTGCACTAGACCCATCAAATATCTGATTTTTTTTAAATAAGGAGACCAAGGGAGCAAGAGAGGGTTTAAACCACTTCTTTCCTGCTTATGCAATGGCCTTGTGTGTATGGATCACCTCAGCAGTAGCTGCTCCTCACCCACAGGAAAGCCCCAGGTTACACTCTGGACACGTGCAGCCCGTATCTCTGGGCCAGGGGTGCCTGGGCATTTCTCTCAGCCAACAAGGTCTCGTTTTTATCTTAACTGGAGTGGTCGTACTTGGAGAGACCAATTCAAAGCCACACCAAAGGCACAGCAAGGCAGGCTGGATGAGTGATGCTGTGTGCATTGGCAGGTAGAAAAGCAGATTGTATCTGTTATGTGCTGTAGGGACATACAATTTAGGAATGCGATTCCGAAAGTTGCCTTTCAGATGACCCTATCTGACTGCCAAAACACCCCCAAAGTCTATTGCACCATGTTTAAGGAAATGTTCTTCATGTAAACAGTATGGCTCACTTGTAAATCCAGAAAAACCAACCACCTCCCAAGAGCAACCTGAAGAATACCCTGGGGAGAAGCAATCTCAGGAATGAATGTGCCGAGATGCAGCAAAAGGAACCAGGGACCAGTGAGGATGTTTGGCAGAGTACAAAACCTGCACAAATACATACCTGACTGCCATTGCTGTAGCAGACAAGAAGGAATCATTCACAGTGACAGCTTTTTTAAAAAGGATTAAAAAGGAAGGTGTATTAATATAGGCAATCACTGTACCATGATTGAAAAGAAAGTGTTCCACTACATAGCTGTGAAAAAATAGCTAAAGCCTTGAAAACAGTGAGAAGAAGGAAGGCTTTACACCACTTCAACTTCAGGAATATCCTGGGGAAAAAAAATGGCACGGAGAGCTTGTCTTCATGTTCTGCATCATCCAGGAGAATATAAAATGGAGAATGAACAGGAGAACTCTAGT